AGGCTGCAAATTCAGGCTTGATGTCTTATTTTGTTTATTGATTAGAATTAAGAAAGTCATGGGGAAAATGTTAAAATGCAGGTCAAATCTGAAAATGTGTCCTGTTCGCATCCCCTCGCACCCCCCACCCTAGGCTGGTTGTTAAACATTTACCAGGGCGTCACTGCCTCTTGGCTTGTAGTATTAGAGAGATGCCTGCGGCGCTGAGCAATTCCCTCTGGTTACCCAGCTAATTTGACTTACTTTGAGTTGGTTGTTACCACGCGGTTCAGTCATGTTTGACTCTTCTTGACCCTAGTTGAGGTTTTCTTGGTAGGGACACTGCAGTAGTTTGCCTTTTCCTTCTCCAGCTCATTTTACAGATGAGGAAGCTGAGGCAAACAGGGTGAAGTGGCTTGCCCAGGGTCATACAGCTAGGAAGTGTCTGAGGCCGGATTTAAACTCAGGAAGATAAACAAATCTTCCTGATTCCAAGCCCAGTGATCTATCCTCTGTACCACCTGGCTGCTCCATACTGAGCTTACAATCCAGTAAAACACCTGGATCTTTTTCAGACAGACTACCATCTAACTATGTTTCCCCCATCCTGTATTTGAGAAGTTGCTTTCTTGAACTCAAGTAGAAGGGTTTAAATTTATAACTCATTTATCCAGATCTTTTTGGATCCTGACTTTCATCCAGTGTATTAGCTAACTTTCTTAGCTAGAGTCAGAGGTAGTCCTAGAACCTAGGTCTGCCTGAGTCCAATCTGATTAATAAACACTTGTTGACTTGACTTAACTTGATCTTGCTCCTTTCTGCTGTACCATGCTGACTCTCAATGTAAGTATCATTACTTCCATTTTACGGATAAGGAAATTGAGGCAAACAGCGTGGAAGTGACTTGAGCATTGTCATACTGATAACATGTATTCAAAGCAAAGCTTAATGATAATAGTTGACATTTATATAGAGCTTCCTATGTGCCAGGCACTGTGCTTATCACTTTATAATTATTGTCTCATTTCATTCTCACAAAAACCCTGTGAGGGTGGTGCCATTATCATCCTCATTTTGCAGATGAGGAAACTGAGGCAAACAGGGTTAAATGAGTTGCCCAGGGTCACACAGCTAGGAAGTGGCTGAGGCCAGATTTGAACACAGGTCTTCCTGACTCCAGGCCCTGTGCTCTCACTATGGTGCCTGCCACCTAGCTGCCAGAACCTCTTGACTTTGAGGCTATCCCGCTACCCACTTCCTGCTGCCTCTCCAGATGGCTTATTTAATTGAAATGCAAGAGTGGGTTTGCTCCATCTAAGCCTAACAGTTATTAATTATTTTTGTGATTTCACAGGATCTTAGTTCCAAGAATTGCATGCATTTGAAGTTTGCAAAGTAGAAATTCAGAGAAACACCGCCAGGTAAGAAATTAGAGATGCCTCCTGCTTCCAGCTGGGAGGTGTTAGTGAGAATTGTTCAGATGATTTGTAAGGAGGCCTCAGCCTTGGGGAACACTTTCACAGAAGCCCATGAATTTTTATACAACTAGGAAATTCGATTGCAGAGACTTAGATGCCTCCCCTCTGTCTGTCTTCAGCACATCACTTGTTGAGATCCTTATCATCCCTAAAAGCCCAAGTCAAGGGCTTCTAGAAGTGAAGCCATCTCTGATTCCTTTTCCCCTGAAAGTGACCCTTAAATTTTCCCAGAGATTTTTGCCTGCCTTTTGCTCTTCGTCTCATCCCACTCCACCTTGTATGTATGCATATCTTGTTGTTGCTCAGTCTTTTAAGTCGTGTCTGACCCTCTGTGACCCCATTTGGGGCTTTCTTGGCAAAGGCACTAGAGTGGTGTCATTTCCTGCTCCAGCTCATTTTACAGAAGAGGAAACTGAGGCAAAGAGAGTTAAGTGACATGCCCAGGTTCACACAGCTGATAAGTGTCTGAGGCCAGATTTGAACCCAGGAAGATGAGTCTCTTGTACCACTTAGCTGTCCCCACCCACCATCTAGGACCAGCTTTATTGCACTCTTGGTACCAGAAACCAAACCCAGGAGGATTTAACCCTTTCATGCCTGGACCTCTTGTCCTGAGGCTCTGCTGGGCTGATTGGTGGCTGCCTCAGTTGCCTGCTATATCTAGGACTGGGTCTAGCCATGCTTCACCCTACTCCCTGGCCAGCTTATCTCCAGCTGCCAAATCACCTTGTATATACCCCATTGAAGCCCCCTACAACTTATCCAATTCTGGGGCTATTCTGCCAGTGCTCCTAGAATGGGTGTGCTAACCTACTCCCTGTGGCTCTGCTCACCATCCTTGTAACTTTCCAAACTAAAATATCCCTCCCTGGTCTCTTACTCGCCTATATGTGTTGTCTTCCCCATTAGAATGTAAGCTTCCTGACATCAGGGAAGGTCCTTTTGTGTGTCTCCCTAGCTCAAGTACAGTACTTAGCATATATTAAGTACGTAATAAATGACCATTCTTCCATTCCACCTTTGGGGGCTATTTTCCCTTCTCTTCTGAGCTCCTCAACACTGGCTTCCCAGTCGGAGGGTGGGCATTCTCATACTTTAGGCAGAGTCGCTGTTGACCTTCATCAGTCCCCTTCTCACCCCAGTTTCCAGTTCTCTAGAGCTGCTTAGACACCTAAATCCAGGGAGTGGCTCTTGGCTTTTGTCCCTTCTTCCCATACTGATTCCCCCAAGGAGTGATCTTAGGAAAATCCCCGACTCCTTCCTGAATCTGAGTCGAGGCCCAGTTCCTGTTTCCAAACTTTCCAGTGGGCTCAGCCCTGAACTAGCCAAGCCTTGCAAGTGGGAAGGACCTTTCTCATCAGTCCAGCCAGTCACCTCCATAGTCCCTGATTGTCAGCCTCTTTTCAGGCTCAAAGTCTTTGCATACACCATTCCACAAACTGGAAGGTCCATCTCCTTGCCAGATCCAATGTAGGTCCTAGGACTAGTCCTTTCAGGAAGCTTGCCCGTTTTCGATCCAATTGATCCACTCAGAGAGTTAGAGCTGGGAGGACCAGAGGGCATTCAGTCTAACCCCCTTCCGGCTAAATAGCTGACCCTATAAGGGACGGGAAATGGGCTCAGAAAGGTCATGACTTGTTTATGGCCACATAGCAAGTAAGTAGCAGACAAGACTTGAACCCAGATCTTATGACTCTAAGCCCAGTGGTCAATGCATTCTAGCCTTTGAATGCACACTTTTCTGTATGTTTCCTGGATGTGAGTCTTCCCCTAGATCCCTGTCACAATCAATCAACAAGATTTCACTGATCACACTTTTACCGTGTGCGAGGCATCATGCCAGGGTTAGGGCTTAGGGTCAGAACTGCCAGCTGGAGCTTCTGGCAGCTATGCCTGGAAGATGGGGAGTCTCGTTCCGAAGCAGGGTCTATCTCAGAGCCATCGCGACAACTGTCAGTTATCTGCAAGGCGCACTGGAAGAGCTCCTGCCTCCTGCCAGTCTTGGGTGCCAGGGCCCCTGTGACATCTCTCATGATCTTTGGCACCTTCCTTCCTTCCTCCTCTCCTTTCTGTCATGCCACCTCTCCCAGGGCTGTGAAGGAAAAAACCTGGGTTGTTTTTCTGTTTGTCTGTCTCTGTATCTGTCTGCCTGTTTGCTTGTCTGTCTGTTTGTCTGTCTGTCAGTCTGTCTGTCAGATGTGTTGCAGAGGAACCAGGGAAAGGAGAAGTCCCAGTAGATCTTGCCCTCAAAAAGCTTACTGTCCATCTGGGGAGGTTATGATGACAATGCCTGACATTTACCAATCGATCAACAAGCACTGTGCTGGGTGCTAGGGACCAGAAGGCAAAAAGCAAACATTCCCTGCCCTCAAGTAGCCTGCAGTCTTTAAAGGGGCCACCATGCACACACAGAAGTATGTACAAAACAGATAAAAGGGAAGAGAGGCTTGTTGTGCTCAGAAGAAAGGACATGCAGCTGGCAGGGAGCAGGAAAGGCTATGGATTATCCGCAGCATTTGAGCTAAGCCTTGAAGGAAGCTGGGGGGTCCTCAGAGGTGGAGGTGAGAAGGGAGGGCATTAAAGGCATGGGAGGACAACCAACCCAAAGATGTGGAATGTGGGGGTCACTGCTCTGCTCCTTCACCTGCTGGGGCTCCCTATGGCCCTTTCCCGGCCCTCCCTGATCTTCTTGAGGTTTGGTGTGGGGGTCACTGCTTTGCTCCCCTACCTTGTAGGGCTTCCCCATGACCCTTCTCCTTGTACTTCCTGACCTTCCTGTGAGCATGTGTGTGTGTGTGTGTGTGTGTGTGTGTGTGTGTGTGTGTGTTCGCGCACGCGCGACTGCCTTGCTTTCCCACTTGCTACACTTCATTCCCCTCCCAGCTGTACTTCTAATTATGATACTCTCTCCCTAACCCCCTACCCAGTCCCCTTTCAGCTCCCTTTTATGTTTTCTTCTCCCATTAGAATGTAAGCTCCTTGAGGGCAGGGACTGCCTTTTTTTTTTTTGCTTGTATTTGTGTCCCCAGCACTTAATACAATGCCTGGCACATAGCACTTAAGAGATGATTGTCACCTGCCTGAGATGGGGCTGAGTCTGTTGGCAGGCTTAGCACAGACAGGGCATAGTAGGGTTCAACAAAGACCTGCTGACTGATGGTACAAGCCAGGGGGCTGGGAGCAGATCCTCCCAGGGCAGTGAGAGGGACCAGGAAAGACAAGAGACAACAGGGCTGAGGGCTGGAAGGTCCCTTAAAGATCGCCTAATGCAGCCTCCTGATTTTCAAGATGAAGAAACTGAGACCCACAGACAGTGGCATTCACTAGGAAATGAGCTAGAAAATGAACAAGTAAATTTAAAAAAATTGTAAGTAGCTCTTAGTACCAATTATTTCATTCTTTGTACTCACATCCCTAGCACTTAGCACACAGTAGGCACAAAATAAATGACCTTTATTAATAATAATCAAATATGGTGACTGATTGTTGTTTCATTGGCCTTGATTTCTTAGATCTCTTCCAGTTCTTGGGCTACAATCTTATGACGAACTGAATGCCTACTACGTGCCAGGTAAAATGAGATCGTGCCTGTCCTCAAGGGGATTCTATTCTGCCAGCAAGTACTGCATGTGACTTCAGATCCACTGAGTCCTGCCTGACCAGGTCTCAGAGTCACACGGGCATGGGCTGGAGTGTCTGCTCACTCCCAGCAGTGAGGGTGGGAAAGGGCCTAGAGGTCTCTCCCCTTGGGAGCCAATGGAAAATTAACCTGAGTCTTGGCCATTTGTAACCAGAGGCTGACAGGAAATTGCCAGCTTCCTGCTGAAGAAGTCATTACCTTAAGCTTTATTGCTGAGTTCAGGTTTCCTTCTTGACAAAGTAAATTTACAGAGCTGTCTGCAAGCCATGCTGGGCATCTCTCAGCTCTGTGGGAAGCCATCCATCAGCCCCAAGCTGGGACCCAGCTCCTGAAGGCTCTGGCTTCCTGGCTACCCCAGAACTATTTACCTTGCAGACAATTTGGATGAATTTCCTGGTCATTGATGACAGGACGATTCTTAGTTGGTGTTTTTTTTTGCTTCCTTTCCCCTTCCCCTAAAATCCACGCAGGAGAATGGTAGTTAAACCCAGTAGGGGCAGGCACCAGGAGAACATTGGAGCTTTCCACAAAGCCCCTTGTGGCAACGTGGATTCAGAGTTCAAAGGAATTTTAGAGATCTCTTCCCCCCTTAAGAGGCAGCTGGGTGGTATAGTAGATAGCGCACTGGGCCTGGAGTCAAGAAGACCTGAGTTCAAATCCAACCTCAGACGTTGAATACCTGTGTGACCTGGGCAAGTTACTTAACCTCTGCCTGTCTTGGTTTTCTCAACTGTAAAATGGGGATAGTAACAGCAAAGTTGTTGTGAAGATCGAATGAGATAATACTTGTAGAGGGGTTAGCAGAATTCCTGGCATGGAGTAGATACTTAATAAATGACTATTATTCTTCCCTTCCTACTATATGTCAGATATTGTGCTATGTTCTGGGGATGCAGGGACAAATTGTACAATCGTAGGATCATAGGTTTAGAGATAGAAGGGATCTTACAGGCTATTGAGCCCAGCAATCCCATTTTACAGATGAGGAAATTGAGGCACAGACTGTCCAGGATCAGCCATTTAGTCAACAAGCATATTAAACACTTCCTATGGTCCAGGCATTCTGTTAAGCACTGGGGATACAAAGAAATTAAAAACCACAGCCCCTGCTCTCTCAGGGAGCTTACATTCTAATAGAGGAGACTTCTTGTCAATAGCGGCAGATAAGCCACATAGAGAGCACATGGAGGGTAATCTCAGAGGAGAGGGTGCTAGAAAGTCAACTTTGAACTGAGCCTTGGAGAAAGCTGAGCAAAGAAGAGGAAAAAGGCAAGGGGGCAAAGCATGCCAGAGACGGGGGTCAGCCAGTTCAAAGACGCAGAGACAAGAGATGATGGAATGCTGTATAAACTGAATGGAGCAGAGTTGGGAGTAAGAAGACTAGACAGGTTGGGACTACGTTGTGATGATTGGCTTTGAATGCTGAGCAGAGAATTTTATATTTTATCATCAGTTCAATTCAATAATCATTTATCAAGTGTCAGCTATGTGCTAGTCACTGTGTTAAGCACTAGGGATATAAAAAGAAGCAAAAGACGGTCCCTGCCCTCAAGAAGTTTGCAATCTAATGGAGGAACTAGGGAGCCACAGGGGCTCTTGGAGCAGGGAAGTGACATGATCAGACTTAGATATTTGAGAAAAATCACCTGGATTTGTCAGTTGGCTGAATGGAGGATGGGAAAGGACTAGTGGGGGGGGCACAGGCAGATTGGAAGTCACAGTGAGGATGGAGAACAGGGTTAGGGGTTGTAAGGCCCAAGAAAAAATGGCATGATAGAAGGCTGTGATCAGATAAAGGCATTTCAGAGTCTGTGAACATGTTCGGGGTCACTCAGCTGGTGCGTGAGGCAATATTTGAACCCAGGTCTTTCTGACTCCAAGTCCTGTGCCCTGTCCACTATAAAACAGGAAGGTACATAGATAAATTCAAGATATAGGTATATATTTACACAACTATACATTTTGTTGTTCACTTATGTATGACTCTTTGTGACCCCATTTGGGATTTTCTTGCAAAGATGCTGGAGTGGCTTGCCATTTCCTTCTCCAGCTCATTTTACAAATGAGGAAACTGAGGCCAACAGGGTTAAGTGAATTACCCAGGCTAGTAAGTGCCTGAGACTGGATTTAAATTCAAGAAGATGAGTCTTCCTGACTCCAGGCTCAGCACTCTATCCATTGTCTCACCTAGCTGTCCTGTCTGTACATCCATCCATTTGTCTATACATATGTGTTAGAATGTATGGGAGGGGGTTTACAACTGAAAGAATTAGAAAAGTCCCCTTGAAGGAAACAGCACTTGAGCCAAGCCTTGAAGAGAGTCAGGATGCCGAGATGCTGAGATGGGGGGCGGGGAACGGCATGCCAGGGATGGGGGCCAGCTTGAGCAAACGCACTAAGGTAGGAGGCGGAATGTCTTGTTCTGGGAACAGTAAATAGGCCGGCTCAGCTGGAACATGGTGTGCAGTGAGGAGTGATGTGTAATCAGCTTGGAGAGATGGGTTGGAGCCAGACTTTGAAGGGCTTTCAATGCCAAACAGAGACATTTTTATTTTGTCCTAGAGGCTATAGGAAGTCACTGAAGTTTCTTGAGCAGAGAGGTGACATGATTACTCAATCAACAAATATTTATTAAGCATCCTACTATGTGCCAGGCACTATGTAAAGGGCCAGGGACACAGTTCTTACTATCCAGGAATTTACATTCTAAGGGAGGGGGAGACAGCATCTCTGTCCCCCATACTCAAGGTTAGTGTCCTGAGCATTGCACTCCATGCCCCTGTTCCCCATAAAATGTCCTGGACCTTAGGGGAGTTGGAAGGCATTGAAGTGGGAGTCCCAAAACAATATAAGTCTGATCTGGTATCCTGTGGTACCCAGTCTCTGCCCAGAGGACTCGCCTCCATGTCTCCATGGTGACAGCCTCTCCAGGTCGGGAGTCAGGGCCTCTTCCCTATCAGACTAAGGTTCTCATTGGCAATGGGGAGTGGGGGTAGGGAGAGGCAGGGAGCTACAGAGGGACAGGGCTGCCTTACTGATGTGGCTTTGTGGGTGATGTCTGAAAACCCAAGGAATTCTGGAGACAGCTGCCTGAGGGAATGCTAATTAGCTATCAGGCAATTAATTATTAATCATACTTTTGTTCACTGTGAAGACAAGGTTTTTCTTGGCAGGCTTTTCCCATTCTGGGTGGGTAAGTGCAGGCATGTCTTCTTTGTGAGTGCCTTGTGCCTGGGAGGAGGAACCTTTGGTGAGCTCATGGGGAAATACAGCAGGATTTTACTTTGGGAAATAGTTGTGTTCTTGTGATGCTATCTGCCCCCACAGTTCCCTTGTGATGGTATCTGCCCCATGGTGTTCTGTAACACTACCCCCATGGTGCTCCTGTGACAATGTTAGCCCCCTCATGGAGCCCTTATGTGAGGGTCTGCTCCTCATGGAGCCCTTTGGGAAGTGTCTAGCCCCTTGACAATATCTAGCCCCTGTGGTGACCCAGCAAGTGTCTACCTGTTATGGCATTTCTTGAGAATGTGTGCCTCTATGATTCCTTTATGATGGTACCTCTCCCTCTTGGAGCTCCTGTGACTGTGTTCAGCCCCCTTGGTGACCTTGTGTCTGCCTGCCATGGTGCCCTTGGAGAATTTCTACCCCTCATGGTGCAGACATGTGAGAGTGTTGGTCCTCCATCACGTCCTCACACCAACATCTGCCCTGGTGGTTTGCCTATGACAGTGTCTCCCTCCCCCCTAGGAACATCCTACCTACATGATCCAAGCAGGCTAAGGATGAAAAGGATGAGAAAAGTCTATATGGGACCAGGTGAGGGACTCCTAGCAGAGGCTTTCCCTGATCTCTCCACTCACTAATGACCATCCCCCCAGGCCCCCACTCCGCACCTTTCTGACAAATTGACCACATGTTCTATATTATAGATTTACCCATCTATATCCTTTGTGAACTATAAGAGTACAGCAGAGACCTCATCTTGTCTCTTATCTCCTTCAAGGTCTGCAGATGGTAGGAACTTCATTCATTCATCTATTAAACAAGTATTTAAGTACCTACTGTGTGCTAGATGCTGGGAGTATGGAGACCAACATGGAGCAAATCCAGACATCAAGGAGCTTATATTCTCCCAGGCAAACTTAAACAAAATGGTTGTCAAAGTGAAATGGACATGTAGTGGAGGCCAATCAACATGGGAGAGGGAGTAGATTGATTCTGCTTTACTTTAGGGGGCAGGCCTTGGAGTAATGCCAGGCAGTTCCAAGAAGGCAGATTTCAGGTCCATATTGGAAAGAACCACTTTATAGCAGGAGATTTTTGAAAATGAAACTCTGAAAGGTAGTGAGCTTCTCATCACTAGAAGTGTTCAAGGAAAGGCAGGATGATGAGTCAGTTCTCTCTTTGGAGGTGGATAGCATTTTTCATCGTGGGTCCTTTGGAATTGTCTTGGATCGTTGCCTTGACCAGAGTCATTCATTGTTGACCATTGTACAATATTGCTATTACTGTGTGTAATGATGTCTTGTTCTGCTCACTTCGCTTCAGATCTATAAGTGTTCAATGACTTTTAGTGTCAGGGAAATGCCAGGGGCCCTTAGAGGTTAGGTGACTTTCCCAGGGTCACACAATCAGTATGTGTCTAAGACAGTATATCTGAGATGGGACTTTAGCCCAGGTCTCCCTGACTCTGAAATAAGGCTCTTTACTCACAGTGTTGCTGTGAGGAAAAGCCAGGCTGCTCTGATGCATATGGCAGGGGATTAATACATTTTTGTAAAATGGAATGGAAATTATTATGGGGATGACTGGAAGCTGTCCTTGAGTGACAATGTCTGGACTTCATGGTACCCCCTGACAATGTCTGTAGGACAGAGAGCTGGTCATGGGGGATATGTGTGGAAGGGATAAAGCTGATAGCATACACATCCTTGTTCTTCTCTCACCCAAGAGTAGACTCTGTCCACCATGACCTTGCAGGGGATCTCTCTACTCGTCCCCTCCTCCAGTAGAATTCAGTGAAAGCACATGCTGGAGTCAATCCTGAAGCAGTAGCTTAGGGGATTTCAAGCTTCTCCAATTGATTTAGTAGTATGGAAATGACAGGTTCTCATGGTTAGAAAATAATCCTCTTTCTAAGTTGTCACCCAAGAGGGTAGAATTATCATCTAATTGGGGTGGAAAGCAAAGGTTGATTTTGAGTGTGGAAGAACTAAGAGACCTTCGCCTCCGGCCGGGAGCTAATGGTAGGGCTTGCAATACTGCCAGCCCAATAGCCACAGGACCTGCGCCAGGGTGGGGGACTCTTCGGGCCCAGGCTGTTCCAGTGGAAACCTCATGTGCTGCTGCTTCAATAAAATGTGACAGAAAATTGCTTGCTTGATTAGAAAATAAGAAATGGTTATTGCTACAGTCACTCACGTGGCTTCAACGCCTCCAACCTGCTAGTTTGCCAGGAAAATATATTGATTTTCTTTTCTGGTTTTAGAAAGTGCTGAACAAAGTTTCCAGCTGAATGGATCCCACAAGAAGAGAGGGAGAAGGGCCTGCTGAGCTCTACCTGCCCCCTCCACCTCGATTGCTGTATTTATGTACATTTCATGGTAAGAATAATCCCCTTACCTCCTTCTCAGGATAGGGAAGAGAAGCTGGATCCAGGCATCACCAGAATTGGCTCCATCTCCTTGGCGGAGCAGGTGTGAAGCTTTATACTGTCTTCATCTGCTTCAGGCTCCAAGAAGTACACCATGACTCCTCTCCTCCCACCTTCCCAGTGTCTGGAAGATTTATCCCACAATGGTGCCCAGCAAACACTTTGCAGACTCTCAGAATCAGAGTTGGGAGGGATGCTCAGAGGACATTGAATGAGATACCCCTCTACAAAATCCAAGACGAGTGGCCATCCAATCTTTGCTTGGGTTCTTCTAGTGATGGAGGAGCTGCTATATCTCTAGGGGCAACCCCAACTTTGGGGTAACTATAGTGGTCCTTAGGAAGTCTGACCTTATATCAAGACTAAATTTGCTTTACCTGTATACCAACTCTGTTTCCTAGGGCCAAACTGAACAAGATTAACCCCTCCTCCATGTGACAACCCTTCAAATACTTGAAGACAGCTGTCATGTACCCTCCACCCCCACCTCAAGCCTTCTGGTTCATTGGATTGATATTCGTGAAGTGAAGCAGTGCCTGGCACATGGTAGGTAATTAACAAATGCTTATCCCCCTCTTCCTACTTCCATCCCACCCCACCTTTACCATTCTAGTTGCCCTTTTCTGGACACTCTCCAGCAGAGCTCCAATGTTCTTCCTGGGTTTAAATACTGGCCCTGACACTGGCTAGCTGTTTGACTCTGGGCAACTCAGTTTCTTTATCTACAAAATGGGCGTGGTGATACTTTCAATGTCTACCTCACAGTGTTGCTGTGAGGAAAACACTTTGTAAACTTTAAAGGGTTAACAGAAGCATGGTGATGATGATGTTGATGGTGATGGTGATGATGATGAGGGTGATGATGATGGTGATGATGATGATGATGAGGGTGATGATGGTGATGATGATGATGATGATGATGATGATGAGGGTGATGATGGTGATGATGATGATGATGATGATGATGATGATGATGATGATGATGATGATGATGAGGGTGATGATGAGGGTGATGATGATCGTGGTGATGATGATGATGATGATGATGATGATGATGACGATGATGGTGATGATGATCGTGGTGATGATGACGATGATGGTGATGATGATGAGGGTGATGATGATCGTGGTGATGATGATGATGGTGATGATGATGATGATGATGATGAGGGTGATGATGATGATGATGAGGGTGATGATGATCGTGGTGATGATGACGATGATGAGGGTGATGATGGTGATGGTGATGATGATGATGATGATGATGAGGGTGATGATGATGATGATGATGATGATGACGATGATGATGAGGGTGATGATGAGCCAATGTGGCTACAACAGGGAAAAGGTTTCTGTGATTTGGGCCTATGGTATAAGTGGATGATGCCAAAAAGAGACCCTATTAGCTGCTGCTTCAGGTGAGACTAGGGCTGCTGGCTGGGGCCAGATCTTTCACAGATCTCTTACTTCAGGGTTTCTATAATGGCCAGTGATCCTTCTAATCCTTTCTTTACTAAATGTTTTCAATTTAGGAAATTGAGGGATTTTCTACCCTGAGTGGCATAGGAAGAAGAATCCCAGGTCTGGAGTCAGAGGAATTGAATTTGAACCCAGAGATGGCTGGGTTGACATCATGACTTACTATCTGTGTGACTTTGAACAAATCACTTGATCTCTCTGGGCCTCAGTTCGGTATGTGAAAAATGGGGGTGTTGTACTGGATGACCTTTGAGGTCTCTCTTTCTGCTAGATCTATGAACCCATGATCTCAGTTTTATACTGAAAGGGAATAAGAAAATTGAATTTGCTTTTGGGAAGTACTCTTTATAGAATCTAACCTCTTGGTTCCTGGGCTGAGAGTGTTGCCATAGATACGTCAGACTCTAGAAATGGCAAATAGATTTTCTCCCAGGATTCACCAGTTTGGTGATATTTATTTGAATCTGGCCTTGGAGATCTGTTGGAGAGAGAAGCTGGATGAGAGTTTCTTCACCTTTCTTGTATACACCATGAGGCAGGAAGCCCCTGTGCAGCAGGGTTGAATGGTATAACTGACTTCTGGGTGTTTATTTCCCTGCCCCTGTCCCATGGGGACTCTGGTAGCCTATGGCTGTAAGGGAGTAGTACTCAGAACTGATGGGGTGCTCACTGCCAGCCCCACTCTGGTTCCTGCTAGGTCCTAGGAGAAAGAAACAGGAAGGGAGAGAGAGAGAGCTGCTTGTGAAAAATAGCTTTTTTTTAATCTACATTACTCATTTCCTGACTCTACTCCTTTGCATTCTGTGTATGTCTGTGTATCTAATGAGAGGGAGAGGGAGAGGGAGAGGGAGAGGGAGAGGGAGAGGGAGAGGGAGAGGGAGAGGGAGAGGGAGAGGGAGAGGGAGAGGGAGAGGGAGAGGGAGAGGGAGAGGGAGAGGGAGAGAGAGAGAGAGAGAGAGAGAGAGAGAGAGAGAGAGAGAGAGAGAGAGAGAGAGAGAGAGAGAGAGAGATATGCTGCTTAACCCTTTCTGAATGATTAATGCCAGTCCAGGTAGAGATTTGGAAAGAGAATTTGATTCATTTAAAGAGAAGAGAGACATCAGCTTAGATTTGTCATGAGCTGAGCCTTGGCTGGGGTGAGGAGTGGACTCTGATCCCTTTTGGATTTCCCACAAGCTAGACATCTATATTATGATCATAGGAATCAGGGATAGGGGCTGGACCTGTGGTTTTCTTGGCATAGAGAGCTTTTCAGATGTGGAAAATCCCTCTTCTAGTGCAGGTCAATGTCTTTTCTGCAAATTCAAGCCTTAGAGAGGTACCTGGAGCACTCTGAGGCTAAGTGACTCCCTCAGAGTCACCCAGACTCTGTGTGTCAGAGATGGGACTCGAAGGGAGGTCTTCCTGGCTCTGAGGCTGACTTTGTATCCACTACATAGGCAAATGCAGATGTAAAGGAGGATTGGCCACTAAGGTCTCAGAGGAAACATATGGATGTTTGGTGAGCCCTGCTACTCAAACCCAGAGGCAGGCTTAACAAATATCCAGGTATCCCAGGACTGAGCCCTTATTGGCCAGTGTCGTCTTTACATTTCCATAATACACATACATACATGTGTGTTATACACACATGTCTGTAACATACAAGTATATAAATACATATATGTATATATGTGTATATTATATAAATACGTCCTATATTAGATATAAGATATATATAATCTCACATATGGTGTCCCAAGTTCTTGACAAGAAGTATCTTCTAGAAAAGTGTCATCATTATCAAGAACACAATTTCCAAAGCCTCAGGGTTCCCAGAGATTGTGTTTGCAACTTCACAGGAGGGCTTCCTTCCACATTAATCTTGCTGAAGCATCAGTAATTTTTCCACAGAGATTAAAACAAAAGTGCTCCCTTGAGTCACTGGCAGATACCTCCAGAAAAGTGGAAGAAGACCCCTGCTACCTTTACTAAAAAATGTGAAGGGAGGAGGGGGAGGGAACAAGTATTTATATAGTGTCTAGTATGTGTGCCAGGCAGTGTGCTAAGTGTTTTAACAGATATTATCTCATTTGATCCTCTCAACAACCCTGTGAGGGTTAAATAACTTATACCTATTTTACAGCTGAGGAAACTGAGGCAAACAGGTGAGGGTAAATAACTTATCTCCCTTTTACAATTGAGGAAACTCAGGCAGAGAGGTGAGGATAAATAACTTATCCCCATTTTACAGTTGAGGAAATTGAGGCAGACAACAATTCATGGTTACACAAGATATTGTCTGAGGCAAGATTTGAAATCAAGTCTGTCTGACTTCAGACTCAGTGCTCTGTCCTTGGTACCTCCTAGCTGCCAGGGAGAGAGCTGAGACAAGTTATAGAATCGTCAGCTTGTGGAATGGCAACGCCGTATGGGACCTTACAAATCAATGAGCTTGACACTTTTGTGGATGGGGAAATGGAGGCTCAAAGAGAGGAATGTCAGTCAACAAGCATTTATTAAGCTCCTATACTGTACATGAGGCACTGTGCTGAGTACTAGCCGTACGATGACAAAAATGAAATCAGCTGTGCCTTCAAAGAACCTATATTTTCTTGGAGGGGACAATGCTGGCATATTTAACATTGGAAGGACAAGGATTTAAGAAGACCTTTAAGGACCATGCTGTGTTGATTGATAGCAGGATGAAAAGTTTTTATTTTGAACTAAAATGACAATATCTGCTTGTAATTATTTGTATTTAAAGTGAATTTATACAGATAAGAGAAATAATATATTTATTACTAAATATATTTCGGTACCAATTGATGCATCTGGTCCATTAAGCATAAATAGAATCTGCATAAAATGAATAATAATAATTACTGCTGTTCAGTCATGTCTGACTCTCAGTTTGCTTAATGAGACTGTCAGCCTCCATTGTGGGTGTCTGGGGCGGGGGGTAAGTGTTGTCTGTTCTCTGGTCCCAGTGTCTATTTTGCCATCTGTGAAGGTCAATGTATGAAATTCAAGTTGGCTTCAGATCAAAACGTGTTTGTGGCTGCCCATTCTCCTGCAAGGTAAAATGGGTGATTTTGTTGTTCAGTTAAGTCTGGCTCTTTGTGACCCCATTTGGGGTTTTCTTGGCAAAGATACTAGAATGATTTGCCATTTTCTTCTCCAGCTCATTTTACAGATGAGGAAACTGAGTCAAACAGGGCAAAGTGACTTGCCTAGGATCACATAGCTAGATTTGAACTCAGGAAGATGAGTCTTCTTCATTCGTAGAATGCCTGGCACTCTATCCAGTGGGCTGCCTAGCTGCCGAATAATAATAACAATCAGTGTTTATATAGTACTTTAAGGTTTGCAAAGTGCTTTGCAGTTATTATCCTCTACAACCCTGGGAATTGAGTGCAATTATTATCCCTATTTTACAGATGAGGAAACTAAGGCAAAGCCAGAGGCTAAGTGACCTGCCAGGTAAACATGCGTGAGACTGGATTTTAACTCAAATCTTCCTGACTCCAGGCCCAGCCCTCTAGCCACTTAAGTCATCTAGCTGCCTCTGAGAGAAAGTTGTATTGGGACAGAGTGCGTGCAGAACTGGGAGCCAGAAAGGCCTCATCAAGAGGTCACATAACTGGTCAGTGACTGTATTAGGAACCCAAGCTTTCTGTCCAGCAGGCAGCACAGGGTTTTACTTCGTGCCCTAACATCTGGTCCAAACTCATTTTGCAAATGAGGAAATTGAGGCCTAGAGAAGGGAAGTGACAGATCTAAGTCCTAGGACCCTGGTCCAGGATCGCAGAACCTCACAGCTGGTTCACAGATGTCATCCAGTCCAACCCTAGGAATACTGCTGGACAATATTCCACACAAATGGTCATCTGTCTTTACTGGATGTCAGGGGGGACCTCAGGGCAGCTCATGCCACTTTTGGATAGCTCAAATTGTTAGGAATTGATGCCAAAACTTCCTGCTTAGACTAAGAGATCCTGTATTGCCTAGATCAGGGGTGGGGAACCTGTGGCCTAGAGGCCACATGTGGCCTGCTAGG